TGAAATTGTTGAGCTATTTTTACATCATTTTTGTCTTACTAACTCTTCAAAATTCAGTGTGTATTTCATACTTGGTTCACATCTCAGTTTGGATCCACTGCATTTCAAGTGCTCATTACCGCCAGCGCAAGATGGAATGTCATCATCCTTCCCACCTTCTTTGCGTGGCTGGCTCCTTCTCATTCAGGTCTCTACCCAGAGATGTCTTTCCTGGCTACGCTGTCTAAACCAGCCACTTCCATAATATTGCTTTCTTTTCTTCAGAGACTTATTGCTACCTGATGTCTTATTAGTTATTTGTTTGCTTATTATCTGCCTCCCCATAGGCTGTAAATCCCATTAGGACAAATCCCTGCCTGTCTTCTTTGGTGTAAAATCCCCAGCAACTACGTCACACCCTCAATAGACTCCCAACAAATATTTGTTGAATGACTTTGAAGATTTCAGATTCATCATTTGTTGTCTCTGAAGCGAATGTTCATTCAGTAGGATGTGAGGCAAGGGGGCCGCAGGGAGGAACATTATGCAAGATATGAGGTGGGAGGAAGCCAGCCTGAAAGCTTTCTGTGAGCTAAAAGGCTGACTCTCAGATGTTAAGGTAGAATCCCAGCTGCTTTCCAGCTGTATGTTGATTCAACCACTGGCTTGTCCGGTTCTGTGAGAAACCATCTCACCAAGTGGTACTTCTGCCTGGCAACCAGTAGATGGGGCAGTGTCATAACAAAACAAAACAAAACAAAACAAAACAAAACAAAACAAAAATGCAGTCTGTCCTACAGTGGGGTGTCTGACCGCTTCCCCAGCTGACTGCTGAAGTTCTGTTCTGGAAATGCCCTACATCTCAGATCTGTAGTGTGGGCTCATAGGCGGTGCCACAAACTTTCCCAACAAAATGAAGCCTCAATGTGACTTGTGCTTTCTGAAGGGCGGCCAGCTTCTCCAAAGGGTGAGGTGGGCCCCGGAGGCTGGCCCAGGCTCCGAGGAGACAGCTTGGTCTTCCTCCTGGGTCTGTGAGCACAGGCACAGAGCGTGACTCACACAGGAGTGTTCCCATTTGTCCAGAACCTTTCAGTCCTCCCATGGTTGAAAATAAGCCGATTAAGAAGGTAGTCCAGCCCTGTCTGGTGTGGCTCATTGCTTGGGCGTTGTCCCATGCACTGAAAGGTTGCCAGTTCAATTCCTGGTCAGGGCACATGCCCCTGTTGCGGGCTCAGTCCCTGTTGGGGCGGGGGGTAGGGAGCGGTAAGGGAAGGGGGCGGCGTGAGGGCGGTGTAGGAGGCAGCTGATTGATGTTCCTTTTTTTAAAGTATATTTTATTGAGTCCTCCCCGCCCCCCCCCCCCCCCCCCCCCCGCCGGAACAGCAACGCTTTCCAAGGCACAGGCGGAGTTTTTTAAAATATATTTTAAAGAGAGGAAGGGAGAGGGATGAGTTAGAAACATTGATGGGAGATAAACATCAATCAGCTGCCTCTTGCACTCCTCCTACTGGGGATGTGCCCGCAACCAATGTACATGACCTTCACCGGAATCAAACCTGGGACCTTTCAGTCTGCAAGCTGATGCTCTATCCACTGAGCCAAACCAATTAGGGCTGATTAATATTTCTCTCCCTCTACTTCCTCTTTCTCTAAAAATCAATACAAATATTAAATGATTCTTGTCAAGAGAGTCATTTATGGCCCATTAAAAAAAATTAAAAAGGAAGTTAGTCCAGGAGCGGTGGAGACCAGTCCACAGGAATAGTTCTGTGGGCCTATTTGCCTGTGTGCCTAGGACTGACACTGGCTGCTGCTGGAGAGCCTGGCCTGCCAGTGGAAACTTCCCTGCAACTGGTTTCCCTGTCTCTGCATGAAGCCCATGGTGCTACCCCTCGCAGATGCTGAGGCCAACCTCAGCTCCCACCACCTGCCCCACACTCTCCTCCCCAAACCCTCCTGACCCTTGGACCTCGAAGCAGTTTGGAAATATTAACTGCTCGAACGTGACATCTGTTCTTTATGGATCAGTTAAAGGTTAATTTGGTGTGTTTTAAATGGAAGTTTTTGTTTGGAGTGCCTATGTCATTGCCACTGCAAGATATTCTGGAAATTTGAGCCAAAGAATGAATTAACTTTGGCTTAAATGGCTTATTATAATCTTAACTATCTCATTCCCACACCATTGGTACCCCTCCAATTAACCCCTTGGTGCTACTGAGCAGGAAGACATCATAGTTGTGGTCTAATGACAGCCTGGGGCCAGTCAGCCATTCCTTCCCGAAGAGACAAGGAGGGCCCAAAAAGCATGATCAAGAGCCTTTCTTCTGTGATCAGGAAATCTTCTTCTTTCATTGTTCCAATAGTTAAACTCCATCCTAATCTGCACATTTACACGAATTTTCATGTTCTATAATTTTGCTGTCATTTATATCCTCCAAACCCTTTAATTCCTACCTGCATGAAGAAATCCTCTTCCTCCTTCACACATTTCCGCCTCTGTGGGGCCTTCTCTGATTCTCCTAGTCGTAATGAACCTTTACTTCCAGTTTTGTTTTTTTTCTCGGGCCCAACTCTGTCTTCTTATTCACATGCATGCCTCATTCATTAATTCAACAATTAGGCAGTGCCCATTGGTGCCAAGCACTGGGGACACCGGGTGCTCTCACAGAACCTACAAACCCAGAGTGGAATGGACTTCACATCCTTCATTGGACTGGGAGCTTCTTGGAGACAGGAATTGGATCTGCAAGGGACTAGGTCAGGGACTGGCACCAAAAGGTACTCAGAAGTTAGTTAAATTGAAACTCAACGCCAGTGACTCTGAGAAAACTCAATTCGAGTTTAAAAAAAGGTTAAACGTTAACAGAGCTAGAAGGCCAGGACTCCCCAGGAGGGCTCTGTGGTTCTGAAATCTGGCACGGAAGCCAGAGACATCCACAGTCCCCTGGTGGACTGGGCCTGTGGCGTGGGGACCGCACTGTCCTCCTCTAGGATGAACTTGGAAGTTTGATGCAGGATCATCTGGGTGTGATACACACGTTCCAGCCAGAAGTGTTTTATTCTTTTTGCTTTGAGACCATAGAGGCAAGCAGGTTGTTTCAAAGGCCCAGAAATGAGTTACTAGTCAAAGGTCAAGCTGGTCAGATTAAAGTTGCATTGTCTAGTTGGCACATAAGAAAAGCATGATTCATGTGATTATCATTCCCAGTGCAGCGTGACTTGACATTATTTGACACTCAAATAAAAACATCATTTGAATATTTACTGGGAATTCTCATCCAAACTGTGTCAGTGATGTAATAAAATAGAATGACTGGTTTGTCAAAGTAAATTGAGTTCTGATCACAGGTAAGCATGTCTTGGAAACTGCATATCTCAGAAAACAGATACTCTGAAACATGACAGCAGCAGGGGGCGCTGCTGGGGTTAGAGGCAGGTAGCACCTTATTTATAGACTTGTATACTATATTGTTCACGCCAGTCATCTCACTATTACCTATGGAGAAAGGCTCCAAGATAGTGAAAAACGAGTCTTGGCGTTTTCTTTGCCCCTCTCTATTTTCTTTAGTAGAATACAATTCTGAAGAAAAAAAAAATTAAACAGCATCCAGTCACTCTCAGCTGCCATGTAATGAAAGAACCACTATTTCCTCCAACCTTGCTGCATAGTAGGCTATAGTATAAAATCCCACCTTCTACCACCTCCTCAAGTTTCGACGGAGAAATTGATTCAGTGAGTTGCAATTCATCCTGGGGGTGGAGCGTCAGAAATCAAGTTGCTTTTCCTGAAGGGGAACCCCGGTCTTGGCGCTCCCTGTAGATCAAAGAGATGCTGGGAAATTTGGGGTGTCATTGCTGGATGAGACTGGTCTCCCCATCCCCTCAACCGATGACTGCAACCAGGTCCCTTTAAGAGACCAGGAACCCGCAGGGCGTCGGAGACCGAGCGGATAGGCTTTCCTGCTCCTCCCCTGTCCCCGCGCGGCAAATGGTTTGCGCCGGCCTATATTTACCCGAGATCTTCCTCTCGGACGGCAAGGATGTGAGGCTGGCGAGCGGGCCAGCGCTCCCAGTACCCGAGGGGTCGCGCAGCAAAGGCGGGTTGCAGACGGAGGGGAGACCGGGAGCGGAGTTGGACACTCCCCGGAGGGAAGACATGAGGTAGCGACCGTTCCCGGAGCCCACCATGCGCGCGCCCCAACTGGGGAGCCCCGCGCTGCCCCGGCTGAGCCAGCCCGGACGGTGAGCCGGCCGAGCCCGATCCCTCACGCCCGGCTGGAGCCAAGATGCAGTGAGAGCCAAGAGCCGGACTGCTGCGCCGTGCCCGCCGCGGCCAGCTGGACCCGCCATCCCACCGCAGTTGAGGGCAAAGCGACTGATTCTGGGACCAGCCCGGCGGAGGGGCAGCCTGCCTCCAGCACCCCGTGGGGGTGGGGAGCACCGGCCCCCGGCCTTACTCGCTGTTGCTGCTGCTGAGTTTCCGAGGTTGCTGGCTCCAGCCTTGGGAACGGTGTCAGTGAGAGGGGGCCCTTTCCAGCTTCGCCGAGGAGTTCCTGCGTTATTCTCCAACCATCTCGGCTGCTTTGACTTGGGGTCCCTCTTATTATTTATTTGCAGGCGCGCATCTCTCTCTCTCTCTCTCTCTCTCTCTCTCTCTCTCTCTCTCTCTCTCTCTCTCTCTCATATTTAACATTTCACTCTCATTCGGTCTTTTTTCTCATTTTGCTTCCCTAAGACTGCCTCCTTCTTTGCCCAGCCTGAGGTCTTTGCCCAGGCTGGACTGTGCGTTTTTCCACACTCGCAACTGAATATTTTTTTCTCCTTAAAAAAAAAAAGAAATCTGTCCCTGGCTCCCGCAGGGTTCTCTAGCACAACCCCTACCATCGGACCACTCCTAGCAGAGTTTTAATTTTCGGTCTTGCCCGGGGCCGAGCCGGCCTAGGCGGGTGGTGGCTCCGCTGGGTTCGCCCTCAGCGCTCGGCCGCCGCCGCCGCCCAGCTGCGCGGGGGCGCCCTCCGGAGATGCTGCCGTGGAAGAAACACAAGTTCGAGCTGCTCGCCGAGGCGCCGCCGAGGCAGGCGTCCAAGCCCAAGGGCTACGCGGTGAGCCTGCACTACTCGGCGCTCAGCTCGCTGGCGCGGGCGTGCCCCGAGGGCGCGCTCAGCCGGGTGGGCAGCATGTTCCGCTCCAAGCGCAAGAAGCTGCACATCACCAGCGAGGACCCCACGTACACCGTGCTCTACCTGGGCAACGCCACCACCATCCAGGCGCGCGGCGACGGCTGCACCGACCTCGCGGTGGGCAAGATCTGGAGCAAGAGCGAGGCGGGCCGCCAGGGCACCAAGATGAAGCTGACGGTGAGCGCGCAGGGCATCCGCATGGTGCACGCCGAGGAGCGTGCGCTGCGCCGCCCGGGCCACCTCTACCTGCTGCACCGCGTCACCTACTGCGTGGCGGACGCGCGGCTGCCCAAGGTCTTCGCCTGGGTGTACCGGCACGAGCTCAAGCACAAGGCGGTGATGCTGCGCTGCCACGCGGTGCTGGTGTCCAAGCCCGAGAAGGCGCAGGCCATGGCCCTGCTGCTCTACCAGACGTCGGCCAACGCGCTGGCGGAGTTTAAACGGCTCAAGCGGCGGGACGACGCGCGCCACCAGCAGCAGGAGCTGGTGGGCGCGCACACCATCCCGCTGGTGCCGCTGCGCAAGCTGCTCCTGCACGGGCCCTGCTGCTACAAGCCGCCGGTGGAGCGCAGCCGCAGCGCGCCCAAGCTCGGCTCCATCACGGAGGACCTGGTCGGCGAACAGCAGGAGGAGGAGGAGGAGGAGGAGGAGGAGCTGCAGGAGGAAGAGGAAGAGGAGCACCCCGAGAACTGCCTGGAGGAGGAGGAGGAGGATCGTGCCAGGCAGAGGGATCCGGCCGAGGAAGAGGCCGAGGCGCAGCGGGCGCTGGTGGTGGCCATGCACTTCGAATGCGGGGACTTGCTGGACACGTTGGAGAGCGGCCGGGAGGAGGCGCTGGCGGGTAGCGGGGTCTCGTTGGGCCCCGGGGCTGGGCCGCCACCGCCTTTGCTGCTGGGTGGCTCCTCCGACGTGAAGGCCGAGCTGTCGCAGCTCATTAACGACCTGGGCGAGCTCAGCTTCGGCAACGACGTGCGGAGCCTGCAGGCTGACCTGCGGGTGACGCGCTTGCTGTCTGGTGAGAGCACCGGCAGCGAGAGCTCCATAGAAGGCGGGGGCCCAGATGCCACCTCTGCCCCCGCCGCTGGGGACCCGCCTGGCCCTACGGACCGCGCCAGCCCAGACGAGCCGCGCTCGGGCTAAGCTTCCCGTCGCAACCTTCTGCGCGCGCCCCGGCGCCCCACTGTGACTCCCTAACAGCCTCCTCGACAGCTCCCTACCTAGCCCTGACCCCCCTGCTTGCGTCCAGGAAAGGGAAAAATGGGACACTGAAGGCCCAGAGTTCCTGCTCCTCTCCTTGAACATATTTGGCTCTGGTTTAAGTGGAGCTCAGGTTGCCTATGGAGATACGGCTGGATGTGTGGGGATGGGGTGGTGAAACCCTAAAAGGAAGGAGAGAGGCAGCCCCTTGGGGTCAGGGGTGAGGGAACTGCCCGCTGAACTTAGCAAAAGTCCCGCAGGCAGGCGTCAGGTGCCCGCCGGCCAGTTTCCTGTTTGTGGGGCAGTTGGGGCCTCCGGAGGAGGGGTTAACTTCCTCCCCACCCCTCAACTGGGAGCAGCCTAGCATTGTCATTGGCATATCATTGAACAGAAAAAGGAATTGACTCTCACAATGTTTGGGGCTGTTTTTGTGCCGCCTCTTTGCCTCCAGTCTTGGTGGAGAGCTTGGGTTGTTTACCTCAGACTAAGACCCTTGAAATTCTGCCAAATTCCTCAAATATTTGTTTGGGGAGGGGGGGAGAGGAGAGGAAAATGAAAGAAAGTTGCATTTTGTTTACAGTTAAAGACATCTAATATCTTAAAAAAAAAAGGAGTTTTCCTTTAGAAACACACACACACCTTCATCCTGCTCAAAAGATCTCACTCCATGATACTGTGTAAAATATTTTTGCACTGTTGTGAAGTATTTTTGACATCTTTTTATGTACATAACTGTTCTCGGAGCTGGATGTTTATATATCTTTTGCTGTGCAAAAGGGACATGTAAAATGTTGTTCAGTTGTATATACAGAAACGTGTATAAAACATTTTGTTATTTTTGAAGAGTAGCACTGCTCTGGTTCTATTTGCCCGCCAGTGGGAAGAGAATAAAGAGGAAAATTGAACAGAACAGGTGAGCGTCTGGAACTGCTGCTGAGCGTGCTTGGGGGGAAGGGAAGGGGGAGGAGAGGGTGTGTCCGTCCACAGGATGGTGTGGGCAGACAGTGTTTGGCCCCTGCCTTTGGCCTCTGCCTTGCTTGAAGGTGGTTAGGGGAGGGAGACCACTTTATCCAAAGCCTGAGGCCTCTCTGGCCCTTTGCCACGCTGGGTACTGCGGCTGGGGACAGCCCTCTCAAGTACATCCCATTTTCTTCATTCACTAACTTGTGGGAGTGTGGGTTTTCTCCGGTCTCTCGGAGTTAATTCTTGGAGACTCAGGGTGAGGTCTGTTCCTCACTCTCAGACCCGCGAGGTTATTTAGGGAGGAGTGACTTCCCACATCTTGTGAGGTTTTACCACCTCCTCTTGAGGTTCATGCTAATGATCAAGTGTAAGCATACAGTATAATCTTTTCCTTTACAAGCAGCTCAGGGAGTTTTAAAGATGAACTGGAGACCCAAAGGAGGAGATTTCTGAGAAGTGGGAAGAACTTTTTTATTTTTTTTCTGGGAGGAAAAGCAAGGATAGAGGAAAGTTAGTTAAGTTCTGAAGATGGCACCAGTGAGGAAAGATGCAGGTGGTGTGGGCAGGGAGGCAGGTGGAAGACCCTTCTACCACCCAGCATGACCCAGTGGGGGAAGGGTGTGGCTGTCAAGGCAGAGAAGAGCTGTTAGAGCTCGGTGTGTGTGTGTGTGTGTGTGTGTGTGTGTGTGTGTGTGTGTGTTTTAGGGCTTTCATGCTTTCTGTTTGTTTCTGTTGTAAATTCCAAACAGATGTCTCTAATTTAGCTACACCCCCGGCCAGCTAGAATTTGTAGTAAGATGCTGCCAAAGCTGTGCCTTCTGCAAATTGTTTTTTCTTTTTGCCCCTTTGGGCCCCTTTTGTATTGCAGACATGGATTGCACTCCAGGCCTCCCCTGGTGTCCTGAGGCCACTTTGCTTTGTTTTCATCATAAACACGTTCTGAGCAACTAGACCCAGAGCTTTTAAGGAGTCTGGAGTTCACTGGAACCATTGAGGAATGGAGGACGGAAGATTTTTCTTCCTAATTAACGGGAGTGGTTCAGGCATAAGACTATCTTTAGAAAAGCAAAGCAAAGCGTGGGTGGGAAATAATAGTAAAAATATTCAGAGTCATTTCTTAAGGGCATTAAGACAAGGTCCAGGCCTTCAAACCTACCACTCACCATGTTTTGGTTTGGTTGAGAGTCCCTGTCCCTCTCCTTGAATACCTAAGATACACATCACTGAATGACATTTAAAACCCTCCAGCTTGAGAGAGGTCAGGAAAGTCAAGTCCCATCCTACCCAGACACCCACATCGTGGGCCCTCCACTCTGTTTTCACCTGACCAGCAGACAGCTGTGTGGGCCACCACTCTCTTGCATGACTAGATTTCACATTTCCAATAATCTCCACACATTGCCAAGTTCCTTTGCTGTTTAAAATTGATGAGAGCATTCAGGAAGGTGGGGGATCATATGGATACTACTTAGAGGTGGGACAGGGTCTACTTGTCTTCATTCTTAACCAATTTATGTGTCCCGTGAGGATGCTAAGGCTGGCTTTCATCTGTATGGTGATTGGTCAAAAGTTCAGATAAGTGACAGACATTTAAACCAATACCGCCAATAAATATAAGGCAACTGTCTGTTTTTTCCTATTGTCTGATTTATAAATAAGGAAGGGGTTGTAGGGGTTGAGGAAGGAGGAAGAAGAAAATAAGCCGACTGCAAAAGAACCAGCTCCCTCCCTCCCTTTTCCCTCCTGGGGCCCTCCTCCTTCCTCCTCCCTCCCCTCTACTTTTGGCTTTTATCCTCACTGCACCCTAGGGCCCTGCTGGTGTAATTCTAGAAGAGATGTGAAGGTGATACATGATTCACTCTTCTTACTTCTCAGTCTTCCAGGGATGATATCACCAGCGTAAGAAGAGATGTTTTAAATGAAAAAAAAAAAAGAAAAACAAAAAGAAACACAAAACAAAACTGAAAACTAGTTTGCTCCTGATAATCAGAGGGAAAAGAGTGGCCTGACAAAAGCAAAACTAAGTACAGTTGGATGAAATGCACGTGCCAGAAAGCACCTGAGGTCTGTCTGGTTTGCTCATCAAAGTCAGCTTTTCCTCCTTGCAAGGTGAGACTTGTGTTTCTCCGTTGAGTAACCTGATGGCTCTTTACATGCAGCGAGACACTTTCCACGTCTCCCTAGACTAAGCAGTTCTCCAGGCCCAGCAATGCAGCTCTGACTGCCTGGAGCAGGAGTGTTTTCTGCAGCAAGAGAGACTACTGCAGGGTGGCAGCGTGAGTCTGCACATCAACTTCTCTTGTTCGTTTGTACAGTTCGTTGCGTGTTGAGGGGGAAAGAGGGAGGAGTAAGACTGTAAAATAAACAATAGTGTTACCCTCTCAACTATTACAGTTTCAAAGCGCACCCATTCCCCTCCCCACCCCACGCACTCCTTAAAGAAAACATCCCTCTCACTGCCCTACCATCAGCAGAACAGTATATTTTAAACCAATTAGAAAGGCTCTGTTGTACTAAGAAAGCATGATCTCCTCCGAGGGACAGGGTTGCTTTTAATGGTTCTGCTTGTGAAAGAGAGAACTGGCTGTGGAATCCATTCTTGGCACCACACCGGAGAGTAAAGAACCTCATGGGAGTCACCAAGGATCACGAGAAACACAAAAATTCTATTAGGAGCAAGTTGCCCTCGTTTCTAACAGGATTTAGTAATTTAATAAGCAGAACTCTTTCCTCTGCGTGGTGTGCATCAGTAGCCCCAGCATCTGCTGGTAAGTGATGCATGACAGAGCTAGAAGTGTGTGTGGACTGCTGGGGCGAGGAGCCATGTTGACATGTGGGGAACTACTCAGGGCTCCCGGAGGCCAGGGGGTGCTAGAGCCAGGGTGCTCTGTAATGTAGGTACCAGCCCCTTCGGCAACATGGCCATGTCTGGATCGGTTTCACTCTTAGCTGGGGCCCTTCCTGCTCCCGCTGGCTCATCCATATCCACAGGCCACAATGTGCCTTGGACAAACCCTCACCACCAGCTCTTAGGGGACCCAATTTGAACAGCCTTAATGCCTCACCACCATTTTATTTTGGTGGTTTGAATGGCTACGTGGGCCTGCAGGTTGGCACTGGTTCCTTCCTCTCTTAGGGCTGCTCAGTGGCAACAGCAAAGGTCCTTGTTTCCAACCTCCATGGAGAGTGGCCCTTCTGATGGTTTCCTCTCCTGCATCTCCTCTTTATTTCTCTCCTAGGCCTCTCCCTCCCGTAACACATCATTCTCCTCTGGCTTGTATTACTCAGCTGCCCACCTGATTCTGGCTTCACGTCTCTTCCTGCCCACAAACCTAGCTCAGACCTTAAATCACCTCAAAGAAAAGAAAACCCAAACTTAAAGGGAAAAACACACCAAGTAAATGTTTATCAGGCGGCACCACTCTTGCAATTCCAGGGCATACTCTGGCCCTGCCCGAACGTAGAGATGAACAAACTGAAGCAAAGAAGGATGATGTTCTGCTGAAAAACGGATCAAGACCCAGGGGTCTAAACTCTTAAACCCATGCTCTTTTCACATTCCTCCGGTTTTTACGGCATATAACCAGATCGTTAGCTTTGTGATGGCAGAAATTGACACCACACTGAAGATACATTTTTCTTTATTCTTCCACTTCACATATGATAAATGCTTGATGATAAATATTTGTGATGCCATTCATCAATGTGCCACTCCCACCACCCACTGTGAATGAGTATCTACTCGCTGCACCATGCTAGAGGTAGAAAAGTCAGGTGTCTGTCTTCCTGGGAAGAACGCTCCTGATGGGTGGGTGGCAGCCCCCAGAGGAACATGGTCTCCTCTTGCTTCCACCCATGAGATCTAGTCTGGCAAGACCTCACCCTAGAAGAGCAGGTCTATTTTAAGGTTGAGGGAGCTCTCCCCATTGCATCATCAATATTATTAATCATCTCTATCCTTCCTGGTTGGCTGAGTTACC